CCATCGATTTTGATTAAAAGCATGATATGCGCCAACAGGTTTGTGCAGTGAAGGTGACTGACCTCTGGGGGGTAGATTATAATGGTAGTAAATGTAGTTGGCGCCAACCGCACTCTACACCTTCGCCCGGAGTTAAGAAGACCAAACGGGACCTGGCGTTGGCCTCTTGCTCTAGTGCAAGCCATAAAAGTCTCCTTTCTTAGTTCTAAGTGATAGTTGACTTTGCACGGTTACTACCGCACTAGTTACCCTGACTCACCTTCGTTAGGTATCAGGACAGGATAAAGGAGACCAAGACAGGTACGGATACTACTATTGTAGTATCCAGCAGGACAATGAAATTAATCCTTGTTTTAATTGCGTCGGCGCTGTGACTTTGAGTCTGGTCCAGGATGCTGTAGGTGGTGTGCCGTCGCAGGTAAGGAGGTGTATTGGTTGTCCCCTCCCTGGTGACGGTCTCCAGCCCCACCCTCCCTTGTAGACAGTTGTCAATAACAGTTGCCCTTCCTGCGAGGGCCCCACGGAGTATTTCCATTCCCCGGTGGTAGCCTCCAGCTCCACCTTCCCCCGATTGTCTTCTTCGGTTACGTGTGTTCGCCTGTATGACAGTTTATTATCGTTATTATTCTACTGTACTCGTAATAAATATGTGTGTGTTAACACTTGGCCTCGGCTTATCATCTCGACGAGTGACTGTTCCTGTGATCGAGCATTCTAGTGGAATTACAGTGCGTGGACACAGCCAGAAGACAATGGACGTAGAAGAACGACTGAGTACCGGCCATAATCAGGAAGAAGATACGCTACCAAAGGACAACAGGGCGCTTGGGTGTTACTCTATTTCTACTTATAGTGACTTGCCATGTAGATTAGTCTTAGTCGTACGCGTACTATTTCTGACACTAATATTAGTCAGATCTGACGCTGATTTAAAATAAATGCTGGGGCTCCAACTCCAAACAATTGTCCACCTAGATTTCAGCCTCTCCTAAATACCATTAATTTTTCTATCTGGTCTCAACTGGTCCGCTCCCCAACAAGACAAAAGCATATCCTAGATCTGATTTTTACAAACGGTATTGCCCCTCTCTTCGTTGATTTTAAGCAAGATATCTTCCAAAGTGATCATACATTAATTCGCTGTTGCCTTCCGCTTCTTTCTACAAAAAGGCTAGCGCCGTTCTTACCTATCATGCTTATGACCTCGCAGATATAAGCTTATTCAACAATGTTCTTGACTCATTAGATTGGCAGTCTCTCCTCCACGAACGGCGCTGCATGTCTTTCTGAACTCATGTCGGTTGTTTCTAATAAATGCTGAAACTTGTACCCGCTAAAATTGCGAAAAACTACGCATCAGAATCGACCGTCACTCACTTTCTTTTGCCAAGACTTAAGAAATTGAGGGGGCAGCTTAAAGATCGATCTACTAGTTCGCTGTCTGTGCATCTAAGAATC